ACACACACACACACACACACACACAGAGAGAGAGAGAGAGAGAGAGAGAGAGAGAGAGAGAGAGAGAGAGAGAGAGAGAGAGAGAGAGAGACCGTACAAACTTGTATTCTGCTTGGCCTGGATGTGTGTGGATGAACTCCTTGACAGATATGCCATTTCTGAGTCGTTTTTTGAATCCTACTTATTCCTGAAGTCTGTCATGGTCATTTCCTAAGTAGCTCCAATTTTCTGAGCCAAAGCCGGGTAATGGCCTCGATACCTCAATTTTCCAAATTCTATGTAAATTTCTATACGGGACGCTGGGCATGCGTTTTGTGCTTGATATGTCCATGCGTTCATTTTCCGGTTCAATCTGCGTCTCCTTGTCTGAGTCATGGACGAAATCACGTCCTTGATACTCGACCAGTCCTGGGACTCTTCGTAGTGCTTTTATGGCTTGCGGTTTGTCCTTGCACTTGATGTTGTGTATCTTGCACAGATCCTTTAGATTCGTGTAGTGCGCTCTGACAAGTGTGTACGTCATTGGAATGATCCCGAAATTCCCGTCCCGCTTCATCCTTCTCCTGTACTTGCTGATCCTCCTTACCTAAGTCCTCCTCTTCTTTGGTGGTGGAGGAAATGGTCGGCTTGGTGCACTGTAACTGGTTTGTCTTGCTGCTGGGATCCCGATCGCGTCCAATCCCGGATATCCACTTGGGTTTCCCATGGATGTCGTATGCAGCGCTCCACCAGCTGATCCCGATGCGACCATATCCATTCCACGCAACCTTGTTTGCTGCACTGTTGATGAAACGTGAGGAGTACACGTTCTCGTTGGTTCGTTGATCCTGTGTATTGCTCCTTTTACTGCCGCCACTTCATACTTCATCAGTTTCATCTCGTCCATCTCCTTCTGCACGTCCGAAACTAGCTTCTCCATCCTTTCTTGGTTTGTTTCTTGTGCAACTCCATTCGTAGTGTTGACGATCTGTGTTTGTTGACTGGTCCCTGCTCCTGCTGCTTTTGGAGTCACTGTCTCAAGAGCTTTGTCGATCATCTTTTGTACTTGTGCTGGTGATAACCGTCCATCATCTTTTGCGTGTCCTTTCTCGATCGTTTTCTTCTCATTCTCCTTGTTCTCGCCTTCGTCACTTCTCGTCTTCTTCAGCTCTTGTATCACCTTTGTCAAGTCATCAATCTTCATCGGCAGTAGCTCGTTCACCTTGCAAATCTTGTCGTAGTCTCTCCTCAGTGCAAAGATCTCCTCCTTCAGGTCTTCCGTGAACCAGGCACGATTTCCCGGTGGGGGGAAATCATTTCTTCTTATCTCCCATTGAGGTCTTGCGTATTTCCTTGGTGACTCCGATGCCGCTCTTCGTCTTCGCGGTGATTTGGATCTCGATCTCGATCTCTCCTTGCGTGGTGATCTTGATCTTGATTTCTCCCTGTGTGGAGTTCTTGATCGTTCTCAGTGTGACCGACGGTTGTCCTGCGACCTTGATGGTGATGGAGATGAGTATCTACCCCGCCTTCGTTCCAGTGTGCGCGAGCGCGCCATTTCTGGAAGTTCTGGAGTGTAGGAAGCTCCTTCACAGTGCCACACGTCACGAGTAATGGGATGTTAGTTACCCGTAGATGTCAACAATTTCAGATGAGTCAACAACAAAGTAATGGATGACCAGTACACGATCCGAAAAGTAAAGACAGGATCTCCGAACTGCTACATGAGCACGTTAATCTCCAACGCGTCAATCTCCAAATCGCTAATCTCCACTCAATACACTGAAGAACAAATACAGTACGGAAAAGATACCAACCAACGATTAGTACTAAACCAGTACGCTACGTGAAATGAGTAAATACTGACCGTAATGCAGTGCCGATCTTCACGGGTACCACCCATCAGTTCAAAGCACCGTGCGTGGAGATAACACTTGCGAATTGGACAATACGTGCGAGGCTTTACTCTCACAGAATACACGTCGTGCCCATGGCATGCGACAACAAGAAGTCGCGATCACCCTTCTGCCTCTCTGCTCAGGTAATCTTTCCAGCCATCATCTAGGTATTTATACCGTACACCTCCAGTCCTTCCCCACCTATCTATCATCTTGCCTGTAGTATACTCGTTCTCCATCACGTCCCTGGTCGCTGAATTTCTGTCGTTACACTTTTCGCCGCTGGATGTTCATCTCCCAAGTGTCCTCCCATTCTTGTAATTCTCTCTCCTTCCCTTCCCTGTGTTTCTGCTTCTGGTCCTAACTCCTACCCGATGAATCCTTACCGTAACTCAACTTCCATTCATGCACTTTTCTATTTGGATATAACTAACATCCTATATTTCAGAAAACTCCCTATCCCCGTATTTTACAATTTCGTCTGAATCCTCCCTGCTTCCGAGGAAATCCCGTAGTCCTTTCTTTTTGGATATAACTAACATCCTAAAATTCAGACATCTCCCTTTCCCCGTATTCTACAATTTCGCCCGAATCCTCCCTGCTTCCGACGAAATTCCCGTAGTCCTTCGTATTTGGATATAACTAACATCCTAACTTTCAGAAATTTTACAATTTCGTCCGAATCCTCGTTGACGAAATTCCCGTAGTCCTTTGTTTCTGGATATAAATCCTATCGCATTTTTTCTAAAAGTCCCTCCTTCGTATTTCAGTCGACTCAAATTTGCATCCGACGATAAATCCCGTATTCCTTTCTATGTGGTTATAGTTTCATCATATTTTGTTTCCAATCCCTCCTCCATATTTTCCAATTTTTGGCTCCTCCTTGCTTCTGAAGATAACATCAGTAGTCCTATCTGTCTGGATATAATTTTTGTCATATTTTTCAGCGAAGTCCCTCCTCCGTATTTTATACTTTCACTGGACTCAACATTAAATCCTGTAGTCCATTTTACAAAGTCACTCCTCCGTATTTTGTATTTTATTTTATTTTATTTTATTTGACTCACCTGCTTTCGACGATACCTCCCGTAGTATTACTGTGTGGATATATTTCCTATCTTGACTTTCCCTTTTCTGTATTTTACAATATTTCCTGACGCCTCCCGTCCCCGTAGTGTTTCTTTCACGAAAAAACAATCTTTAGTCATTTTCTCCGTTGGATATCTTCCGTGAATTCATCCATCATCAAGTGCTGCGATTCTTTGCTTCATTATATTTTACATGCCCTAGTTTTTCAATCGGAAAGATTTCAACGTTTCTTATTTATATTTTTCATTTTATTTTATTTTATTGTATTTATTAATTAATTAATTTATTTATTTACTTATTTATTTACTTTTTACTTTTTAATTTAAATTTTAATTACAATTTACATGTTTTACTTTACAAGGAATTATATGCTAATCCTGGTTCGTTTTTGTTTTTGTTTTTGTTTTTCGTTTTTGTTTGGCTCCGTTGTATTATCAGGTACTTACTTATCCACTGATTTTTTGTGTACGTGGTCTGTATTTTTCGGAACCTTTATTTATTTAAGTGCAATTCTTTACAATATTTTACAATATTTAACATCACCGTTTTCTCTTTCGGCTTGTTTCATATCTGTCCTCGTTCTCCAGGAATTTGATGAATAAATCCCGTACGTCTTTGTCTTTGCAACTCTTGATATACACCAGAATGGCCGTTCAGATAACCTGCCATGGGAATTCCAGCAGTTTGAGCTCCACAATTTGCAACTTTAAAACCGCTGTGATGTCCTCTCGTGAATACGTATTTGCCACGATTCTGTGAAGTGTGCCGATGATCGTGAGCTTTTTTGTGTTGATCGAGCCCACGCTCCTGAAGTGACGGATAGACCTAAGAGAGAGAGAGAGAGAGAGAGACGAAGAGACACCGATTGGAGGAAGGTAGTCGCAAGAAAAGCTGGTGCTCGGGGAGAGAGAGAGAGAGAGAAGGATGAGACGAGAGAGAGAGAGGAATAGGAGGAGACAGAGAGAAAAGAAAGGGATGAGAGAGAGAGAGAGAGAGAGAGAGAGAGAGAGAGAGAGAGAGAGAGAGAGAGAGAGAGAGAGAGAGAGAGAGAGAGAGAGAGAGA